AGCCTCAAGTTGCAATACTGAAGGATGCTTTGGGCAAAATATTATCTATGAAGTATTAAAAGAAGATGGAAAGAAAATACAGAGTCATTGTACAAAAAGGAATTGACGGACACAAAATAATTTTATGAAACAACGTGTGAGCAACAGCTTGTGGTGATGAAGGAAGAAGTTCAAGCTGTTCTGAAAGAATTGGCAAAATACAAGGCCCCAGGAACTGACAGTATACCAATTGTTATATTTCAGCAAACAGATACTGCCCTATATGTGCTCACCAAGTTGTGCCAAGAAAACTGGAGGATAACCACATGGCCAACTGACTGGAAGAGATCTGGTTTTCTTCCCATTTCAAAAAAAGGTGATCCAACAGAGTACAGAAATTATTGAACAATATTACTAATATCACATACAAACAAGATTCTGCTGAAGATTATCCAAAAACAACTGGAACGGCACATCAACAGAGAAGTGCCAGAAAAGTAGGCTGGATTTATAGGAGGCCATGGGACTAGGGATATTGTAGCTAATTTTAGAAGGATCTTGGCAGAAGCAGAGAGTACCAGAGGAATGCCTATTTGTGTTTCATTGACTATGAAAAGGCATTTGACCATGTTGATTTCATTGACTATGAAAAGGCATTTGACCATGTTGACCATATAAACTGTGGCTAACTCTGAGAAGAATGGGAATCCCAGAACACTTGATTGTGCTTATGTGAAACCTATACTTGGACCAGGAAGCAGTCATTAGAACAGAGCAACACTGTATGGTTCAAAATTGGGAAGGGTGTACCAAGAGATGTGCTCTATCTATATGACTTTCAATCTATATGCAGAACAGATTATCCGGGAGGCAGGGCTCTATGAGGAGGAATGTGGCACCAGGATTGGAAGAACTCATCAACAATCTGTGTTATGCAGATGACACTATCCTGCTTGCTGAAACTGAGGAGGACGTGAAGCACTTGTAGAAGGTCAAGGATGCAGCCTTCAATATGGATTGAAGCCCAACATCAAGAAAATAACGATTCTAATCACTGGACTTACTGGCAGCATCATTATAATGGTTGAGAGATTGAGATTGTTAAGAGCTTTAGTTTGCTTGGATTCACAATCAACATTCTTGGTACCAGCAGCCAGGAAATGAAAAAAAAAAATCTATTGTACTGAGAAAGTCTGCAGTCAGAGACCTCTCCAAGGTATTGAAGATCAGTGATGTCAGTCTGGAGACCAAGGTAGGCCTGTTACAGGCCATTGTCTTCACAATCATTTGCTATGCATCAGAGAGCTGGACAATGACTAGGGATGATAAGAGAATTGATGCCTTTGGCTTTGGTGCTGGAGAAGTGTATTGAATATACCATGGACTGCTAAGAGAATAACAGGTTCAACCTGGAGAGGGTGAAACCAGGCTGCTCCTTGGAGGCAATGAAGCTTCGTCTGACTTACTGTGGACAAGGAGGAACCAGTTGCAAGAAGGAACCAGTCGTTGGAAAGGGATGTCATGTTTGGGAAGGTGGAGGGACAACACAGGAAAGGAAGACCTTTGATGAGATGGATTGATTTATCTCATTCATCTCATTGATTCATTCATTGGGGCATGTGTGACAGAGACAATAAGATTGGTGCAGGAAACAAACACATGAAGAAATCTTCAAAAACCCTAGTTCGAAGAGAGACGCAAATCAAAGCAACTATGAGATGTCATCTCCTCCCAGTAAAAATAACAAAATTTAACAGAACAGCAAACAACAGATAGCTGGTGAGATTGTGGAGAAACTGGAACCCTTATTCACTGTTGGAGGGAGTATAAAATGGTGCAACCATTATGGAAGGCAGTTTTCTCAAACTTTTCTCAAAAAGTTGCAAATAGAAATAACATTTGATCCAGCAATTCTACTACTGGGAATAAACCCCAGAGAAACCATAACCACCACCCAAGCATATATATGCACACCCATGTTTATCGTGGCATTGTTCACAATAGCAAAGAGTTGGAAACAACATAAGTGTCTGTCAACAAATGAATGGTTAGAGATGCTCTGGTATATTCACACAATGGAATAATATGCTGCTTTGAAAAACAAAGAAATCATGAAATATTATACAAAATGGATGACCCTTGAGGACATTATGCTGAGTGAAATATCTCAGTCACAAAAGGACAAATATTGCATAGTGCCACTGTGGTAAAACTGGACTGACAACAGGGTTTGTGGGGAGACTGAGAAAGATGGGAAAAATTATGTATACTGCATTGAAACAGATGAGGGAGAGAACTATCTAGAAGGGATATATGCTTAGGTATTGTCATGGCAGGAGTCCAGAATGAAGGCTGCATGCTGGAGTGGACTTGTGGGGAAGGATTGTATAACAATGAAAGAATTTTTCTTTTACTTTTCAAAGAGAAGAACGAACTCGGGTGGTGGGGGATGGTGGGCAGGGAGAAAAGTTCAACAATGAATGAATGGGAATCCAAAGTCTCTGAAAACTTTCATAAAATTAATTATAAAAAATAAAGATTGGTACAGGATAGAGGAGGGTTTAGGGCTATTGTACATAGGTTGCCATGAGTTGCAGGTGACTAGACAGCACATACCAACAACTCAAGCCTATATCCATCTTCAGTATATGTATAAAAATATCTCAAAAGGGGCAAAAGTAGCTTAGAATCAGTTTTACTCCCTCCCACCGCCCCACTTAATAAAGCTTTTATTTTCTTTTATTTGCAAAAAAAAAAAAAATAGAGAATGGCAGTGATGGTCAGGTACTCTGTTATCTCGTTACTAGGCTACATGTGTGTCTATGTAACTTCCTGATAGAACTGTTTGCGGAATGCCATGGAGGAATACACCCTTGTTTCCTGGAGGATTAGCGATCTCTAGGGCAGCTTAAAGCAGATATGAGATGTTCAGGGTAGGTACACAGCAGGATAACTTCAGCAAACATGCGACTCTAAACCTCACACTGGGTAATGAGGAGTGGGGACTTGGTGGTGTTTTAGATGTACTGCAGAGTCTGAGTCTCTGGAGACTAAGGTGCGTCTGGTACAGTCCATCGTCTTTGAAATCACTTGTTATGCGTCAGAGAGCTGGACAATGACCAGGGAGGTTAGAAGGAGAATTGATGCTTTTGAGCTTTGGTTTTGGAGAAGAGTGCTGAGGGTGCCATGGACTGCTAAGAAAATAAACAGATTCATTCTGGAGAGTGTTAACCCGGGCTGCTCCTTGGAGGCAAGGATTCTGAAGCTCCGTCTGATATACTTTGGACATGTTGTAAGGAGGGATTGGTCCTTGGAAAATGACGTCATGCTTGGGAGGGTGGAGGGCAGGCTCAGGAGGGGAAGGACTTTTGGGAGATGGATTGATTCGGTGACTGGGATAATCGGGATGAGTGTGCTGAAGACAGTGAGATTGGCACAGGACAGAGCAGAGTGTAGAGCTGTTGTACATAGGGTCGCTATGAATTGCAAGCAACTCGACGGCACATAACAACAACTACAGGGTCTTCCAGGGAGCTCTGGTGGCCTAGTGGCAAGGAGCCATGCAATGCAGGTGCCCCGCAGGAGAAAGATCAGCAATCTCCTGTCGTACGATTAACTTGCCTGTGAAAACCCACCCCACCAGAGGATCAGCTGTGAGTTGGCTCCAGTTCTACAGTACATAACAACAACAACAACAACAGCAGGGTCTTTAGTCCAAAACTCAAACAGGCCTACTCTTTACTGCTTCATTGTTCTTTTGGGGGAAATGTTGGTGCTTGTTTTTATACCTCCTATCAGATTAACCTAATATATAAAGAGTGTCTATTTTCCTAGAAAAACACACACACACACACACTCTCTCTCTCTCTCTCTCTCTCTCTCTCTCTCTCTCTCTCTCTCTCTTGCATGTGAAGAATTCTATTCCCAAAATGTAGATTCATTTTGTATGTATCAAGTATATGGGCCATGTGGGATCCCTCAAACTATGACAAAGTTGATATTTTAATGATAGTCTACGTCACTACTCCTTTATCTGAAAGTAACCACACTTGTCCCCTCCCTCCCACCTGCCACCCACCATCCTGGCTCAAAACCTCAATACAATAGAGCTTTACAACACTTTTTCTTCAGCTTTTTTTTAGGACTCAGCCAGATGATTAGGTGGCCTATGTTCTAACACCTCATTCTCACAGGGGAACTTCCCATCCTCACATTCTTTCTTTGGTACCTGAGACCCCAGGGCTTACATCTACCAGAGGTTTAAATGCACTCATGTTGAGTTGATACTGTGTTTGCTGCATACCATGCAGGTCTGTGATGAGCTACCTCAAAACAGCTGACACCCTGGATGAAGCACTTACTAAAATCAGTTATAAGAGAGACTGCTTATATTCATGTGAAATGCTGTTTATGAGAAAATGTGTACAAATATTGATGTAAATGTAAAGGTCATTTATTATATGTTGTTATGTGCCATCGAGTTGCCTGTGACTCATAGTACTCCTAGGTAAAATATCTCTAAAGCTTGCCCTATCCTGAGTCAGGCACTAGTCAGACTCATCTAGGGTCTTCTTCTATGGTATTGACTATCATTCATGAGATGTGTGAAAAATACAGTTTTCTACAGCCTGTGAAGTTTTATTGCCTCCTCATGTATATGAAGATGTTACTACTGGCAATATACTCTTTAAAAAAAAAAGGCATTTTTTCCAGGTCTTTTTTTTTTTTTTTGCAAAAATTCATTATATTGTTTTGCACACTGGATCTTTCTCATTTCCTTCACACTCCCCCAATCACAGGACCTTATGCTTAACGCCACCCCTGCTGCCCATACTCAACCCTCTGTTCCCCTCTCCCCACTTAGATTCTCATACTCATTCTACAATAATGGTATTAAACAGTATTTTTCCTTATGAGACCGACACAGCAATATGCTCTTTATATAGATGTGGGCACTAATATTCATTGTCGTTTTCGTTATGTTTTCTTGTGCCACTTTAAATAAAGATCTTGTTTTTCAGATTTTAGATAAAAGAGACACTGGTCTGTCACTGAAACAAGAAAAAAAGGAGGTTCATGTTACAAACAAAGGTAAAAATAATGGAACTCAGTTGCTCACATGAGCTGTAACGTTTGAGCAGTTTTCTTTAAAGTTGTTGACAGTCTGAGAGCTATATAAGAAATTTATCAGGAAGTGGGGTTTGCAAAACTAAATGTGTTGTTACAGAAGTAGGAAAAAATTTAGTAGAAATTGACCTGTTAATCTCCTGTGTTTTGAAGGAGCAGGATAATATTTCTGCTCCAAATAGTGCTACCAACACTGTCTTTCTGCCTGAAATTTCTACTGTTAGACTTATGCCACCATTACCACTGAATTCTGCTTAAGAATTTTGCCAGACTGATAGTTGGTTTATACTTTTGAGAATGTTATATAAAAAATATGCTATCTTCTCCCCATTATCAATCTTTTTAGTAATTTTCTTCTTAACATGATTCCTTTAAAATCATTAAGAGTAATTCATTAAACTAATTTATGAGTGCCTTAATTTCCTTGGGATATATGTGTTGTGTGAGAAACTTGAACTTCCTTAAAATATAAAGTTCTCATTTAAAATGTTTGAGCCAAGTATATTTTTTTTCTGAATTTTTGTTGTATTATGTGCCGTTGAGTCACTTGTGACTCTCAGCAATGCTATACACAACAGCTCTAACTCTGTCCTATCCTGAGCCAATATCAGTATACCTGACACACCCCATTACCCCAATTACTCATCTCATCTGTGTCATCCTCTCTTGTGTGGTCCCTTCATTTTTCCAAGCATAATGTCCTTCTCCAAGGATTGCTTCCTCCTGGCAACATGCTCAAAGTATATCAGATGGAACTTCAAAATCCTTGCCTCCAAAAGCAACTTAATTTCACCCTCTCCGAGGCAAGCCTGTTTGTTCTCTTGGCAGCTGGTGGTATAGTCAACACTCTTCTCTGGCATCAAAAACTCAAAGGCATCAATTCTTCTTCTGCCACCCTTAGTCATTGTCCAGCTTTTTGATGCATAGGGAGTAATTTGGAAGACCTAGATCAGGCAAACCTTAGTCTCTAGACTGACACTGTTGCTCTTTAGCATTCTGGAGAGAGTGCTGATGGCAGATTTTCCTAATGCAAATCAGCTTTTGATTTCCTGTCTGTTGGTGCCAAGAGTGTTGATTGTGGAACCAAGCATGCTGAAATTGTTAACAATCTCAATCTTTTCCCCATCCATTATGCCAGTTGGCCTTGTGGTGAGAATCTTTGTCTTCTTGATGTTGAGTTTCAAACCATATTGTAGACTGTAGTCCTAGACTTTCTGCAAATGCATCAGGCCCTCCTCAGTGTAAGAAAGCAAGGTTGTATCATCTGTATAACACAGGTTGTTGATGAGTCTTCCCCCCAATCCTGATTCCGCATTCCTCCTCATAAAGTCCTGCTTCCCAAATGATCTATTCTATATATAGATTGAAAAGGTATGGAAACAGGACACATCACTGATGTACTCCTTTCTGCTAACAGCTTCTTGATCCAGGTGTAGGTTTCACATAAGCCCGATCAGGTGTCCTGGGATTCCCATTCTTTTCAAGGTTAGCCACAATTTTTTGTGATCCCACAGTTAAGTGCTTTTGCTTAGTCAATGAAACACAGATAGGCATCCCTTAGTACTCTCTGCTTTTAGTCAAGATCCATCTGACAATGACTGTGATATCCGTAGTGCCACGATCTCTTCTAAACCTGGCTTGTGTTTCTGGTAATTCTCTGTTGATAGACTGTTCCAGTAGTTTTTAGATAATCTTCAGTAAGATTTTGCTTGCATGTGATATTGAGAAGCCAAAGAAGAAATGAGACTTAGAGAACTGTATTGTCTTTCTGTTCATTTGTTGCTATTGCTGTAATTACTATATATTAGAATGCTATTCCATTTTAAAGTAGAATTCCATAAAATCCAAGCCAAACCCTTTGCTTTCTCAATCACATTCTTGAAATGTTTTAAAGCCTTGCATTTTCTCCCTAACAAATCTTATCTCTTTGTGCTTTCATCATTCTTAATGATTTCCCTAGAGCTCCAGACCTCTCCCTATTGCATTTGTTCTTGCTTGTAATGTCTTTCTTCCTTTATATTTTATTGCTTAGGTAACCTAATCATTCACAACTTTCTACTTGAGCCATTAGTAAGGTCGCTAAGAAATCACACTATTTATTTTTCCATCTTAATTAAGATAATTTGTAATTCTCCATTCAGGACTGCTTTTGTAAGGTGTTTTTAATTTTAAAGTCCATCCTTTCTAGAAGTTTCAAACTATTAGTGTGCTTTTAATATGGTCCTTTTAGATTTTCTAATGGTAATGGGAAAATGGTTAATACAATTTAGATCCTAAAATTAATAATTTCATCTTAAATAATCATCCTGAGTTTGACAGGAGCAAATTGTTAAATATTTTCAAATGACTGTAATTATAGATTAGTAGATTATTGGTTAAAAAATAATCATTTTGTATATGTGTTAGAGAGCAAAACCAGTAGTCTCTGCAATATGCTTGGAAAGCCTCTCTGTTCTTTGTTTTTGTGTTTTATATGAAGGAACCAAGCAGTTCCTTAGCTATATATTTTCTTGCCATCTGCAGCACTGTTTTTATTATCATATTCCACATGGTCTTCATCAGAACTAAATTTGTTACCAAAATTTTACTTAATGGAATAAGATACCATAAAGGATTCTAGCATTCAAAGGAAGAAAGGCATTTAGACTCATTGCTTATATAGTGCCTAGCTGCTGTTTTTATAGCTAATCAAGAAAATCACTAACCTCTATAAGTCTGTAATTTTGAGGTCCAATAAGCAATTGGACAAAGGTGACTTCAGTTCTGTCTTACTTTAAAGTTCCTCTCCCAAATGAAATCTTATTTTTCAATGGTACTTTAGAGTATGCAGAGTACTAACTAAAAAAAAATTAAATGTGTAGACTTGTTATCGAGTTGGAACTGACTAATAACTTATCCCTCCAGTGAAGTTTTCAGAGGCAGTAAATTGCACAGGAGGAAATGGCCTATCTTTCTACTACAAAGCAACTGGTGGATTTGAACTGCATGACTTGAAATTAACAAAGTAGCTCCTTCCCAATTAAAACAAACTTGGAAAGAGTGGCATCCACTTCCAAAATGACTTGCCTTCAGAAACTCTATGAATATGAAGAAATGACCAAAGTTATACAAGTGTTCAGGTCTTTCATTCATAGGTTCGCTGTCTACAACTCGACAGCACTTAACAGTAACAATGACATCATAGAGAGAGCTCTGTTGGCCTCATGGACAGAAAGTTATGCTATCAAGCCCAAGGTGGGTGACTTTAATCTGTGGTCCTTGGGCCTGGTCTAAATGTTTTTGTCAAAAATTCTTCTGAGTGGTATAGCACTGGTCTGTGCTTTGCTGTACAGAGGTAACTCGTGGTTGCTGTGATGCTAAACACTGTGACACTGATGTGTCAAATGTGATAATGGTTACCCATGGTGAAAAGTGGTGGAGCTCCCCAATTAAAACAAGCTTGGAAGCAGGAGTGGCACCCACTTCCGAAATGGCTTGCCACTGGAGACTATGAACATGGAGAAATGACCAAAGTTATAAAGTGTCCAAATCTTTCATTCACAGGGTCAGAAACTATGAACATGGAGAAATGACCAAAGTTATAAAGTGTCCAGGTGTTTCATTCATAGGGTCACTATACGTCGTCTACGACTCGATGGCACTTAACAGCAAAAACAGCTCCTTACCACTAGACCACCAGAGCTCAAGCACACCTTTAGCAGATAAAAAAACCACTTTAAAATTCAATTAGAGACCTCTGGATTATTCTACACACTTTACATAATGGATTATTTTACACTTACAATATTTCTTGAGTATATAGTGGTGTAACTTTACAGATGAATGTATTAATGCAGAGCTAAAAATGATGTACATGTAGTTAATGAACTGTTAGGACTTCTTTTAGTTCAGTTTGTTTCCGATCATCAAATCATGATTGTATTTATTTTGCCTGTGTTTTTTTTTTAAGAAATCCAGAAGCTGTGCAGTATAGGGGTACAGAGGAACCCTTCATCATCTAACTGGAAAAGGTCAGTGGATGCAATTGCACAAATTCTAAGTGTTGGCAGTTCTCATGCTGAAAAAATACTCATAGTTTTTAAATGCAAGAAAAAGGAAAATAATAAAAACAAGTGCAATTACCATTGGAACCAAATTTTACAAAGAAAACAGAAGAGAATGTAAGTCACCTTTCTCCCTCAAATATTCTCGTTTCCCTCTGTAAGGACTTCAGGAAACGAAGAGAAGCAGGTTTAACATTCTACTAAAAGCATGCAAGAAATTAAAATTGCAGTACTGTAATTAAAGAACTGAAAATGTCACAGTTGTAAGGTATGATAAATAATTAGCAGATGTTTTCTCTGTGACTCATCTCACTGTCATACATATATACTCAACAAAACCTCAACAAAAACCAAAACTCAGAGTTATTACCATTGAAAGAGAATGGATTCATAGCTGACCCTCCAGCAGATTTTCTGAGGCTGTAAACTGCATAGGGAAGAAAGTGCCATCTTTTCCCCTCACAGTAGTTGATGGATTCAAACCACCAGAGGGGGAACCACCTTCCGGCTAGAAACACAGCTTCCTGTGCACTGTGAATGTTCTTGTGAGACTTTTGCGATGTTTAAAATAAAATAGTTTGGATATATTGCCTACCCAACAGAAACATGTTTCCAAGGAAGAAAATTCTTTTCTGTACTCAAAACTGACCTAAGTTGTTGGTTTGGTTTGGGTTTTTTTTTTCTTTCAAGGCTCTTAGCCCCTATTTCTCTGAATCCTAATCCTGTGCTCTTTGCACAGTAGAACACTGATTAAGGTCAAGAGAAAAAGAAAAGAAAGAGCTTTTAGTCTTTGCACTTATTTTCAAAGTATTCACCCTAACACTCAAATCTGATCACTTGACTTTTCTAGTCCAAAGCCTTTCATCACTTATAAGGTAAGTTACAACCTCTCGGCATGGCATAAAGCCCCCTCAGTGATATGCCTCCAGCCTTTCTCTTTAGCTCCTGTTCCACTTTCTAGAGGATATAAATCACTTGTAGGGATATTTTTGTAATCACATACTTTCATCTCTCTGCCCACACTACTTCCTTTGCTTGCCCTCTGCAATTTGTACATCACTCTAATGTCCTTTCATCCTCAAAGTCTTGTGTCAGCAGTTCTTTACTTTCGAGTCTTTCTGATTCTCCCAGCCGAATTCAGTCACAAAAATGACTGAAGTGATCAGACTGTATTTCAATCTGTTCAACTGACCTAATTACATATTAGCTGTCAACTGTGTTTTAACACTGTTAAGGTTTCCTGTATGAATATCTTTCATCCTGTGGTATCGTAACTTGACAAGGCATGTTGTTGTTAGATGCCATCAGTCGAGTAAGACTCACAGTGACCGTGTGAACAACATATCTGAACCCCTGTGTCAACCTTACAATCTCTGACACACTCGAGCCCATTGCCCCAGTCACTGTGTCAATCTATCTGATTGTAGTTCTTCTTCTCTTTGCTGTCCCTCCACCTTTTTATGCATGATGTCCTTTTCCAAGGAATAGCCTTTCCTAGCAACATGCCCAAAGTATGTATGACACCACTATTGCCTCCAAGGACCAATCTGGCTTCACCTTCTCTAAGACATACCTGTTTGTTATTTTGACAATCCATGGGGTATTCAGTAATCTCCTCCAACACAGCAACCCAGAGGCATCAATTTTGCTCCTATCATTCTTATTCTTTGCCATGCCTTTGGATGCATAGTAAGCAATTGAAAAGACCATGGCCTGAAACAAGTGCACCTTAGTCCTCAAACTGATATCATTATTTCTCAATAATTTGGAGAGGCCGCTGACTGCAGACTTTCTCAGTGTGATATGTTTCCTGATCTCTGACTATTGGTACCAAGTGTATTAATTGGGGATCCAAGTAAGATGAAGGCATTGACAGTTTCAGTCTTTTCTCAGTCTCTTATTATGTTACCTAAAGGACTAGTGATGAGAATTTAGTTTTCTTGATTTTGAGATTCAATCCAACATTCTAGTGCTATCGAATATTGAAAGCTGTATTCTTTGTTTTTGGGATGCCAGGGTTTTTTTTTTCAATTTTAGACATAACTTGCTATGACCCACACATGTTGTTGTTGTTATGTGTCGACAAGTCAGCTGCGACTCATAGTGACCCTATTTACAATTTCTCTGAATTGTGCCTTGTCCTGAGCCTGTCTCATTGACTCAAATACACCTACCCCCACTGCCCTAGTTGCAGTATCAATCCATCTCATCCTGGGTCTTCCTCTCCTGTGCTGTCCCTTCACCCTTCCAAGTATGATGTCCTTCTCTAAGGACCAGTCTCTCCTGAGCAAGTGCCCAAAGTATGTGAGACAGAACTTCAAAATCCTAGCCTCCTAGGAGAAACTTGGTTTCACCCTCTCCAAGACAGATCTGTTTGCTTTCTTGGATGTCCATGGTATGTTCAGGACTCTTCTCCAGCACCATAACTCAAAGGCATCAATTCTTCTTTTATCCTTTTTAGCCATTATCCAGCTCTCTGATGCATAGCAAGTAACTACAAAGACCATAGACTGGATCAGATGCACCTTAGTTTCTAGACTGACATTGTTGTTTCTCAGTAGTCAGGAAAGGGCCCTGACAGCAGATTTATCCAATGCCTTTTAATTTCCTGACTGCTGGTGCCAATAGGGTTTGTTGATTGAGGATCTAAGCAAGCAGTAATTGTTGTGGGATTTTTTTTTCTTCCATTTTCATTTTTTAAAATTTTATGTTATTATTATTATTAATTGTATAGCAACAACAACGACAATGAAAATTTAGAGACTTTGGACTTTCATTCATTCATTGTTGCACTTTTCTCCCTGCCCACCACTCCCCACCCCTCCAGTTCACTCTTCTCTTTGAAAAGTGAAAGAAAAATTCTTTAATTATTATACAATCCCTGCCCCCAGGTCCACTCCACTATGCAGCCTTCACTCTGGACTCCTGTCATGACAATAAAACCTAATCAAACATCCCTTTTAAACAGTTTTTAATTATAAAATTATAATAGGAACTTACTAGGATTAGGCACTGAGTTATCTGTATATCTTATTTCATCCTTAGTGCAAATATGTGAGGTACGCTATATTATTATTTGGCAAAAGAAACTTTCTGAGAGCAGTCTCTTGTGCTTTGGTATATTGATTGCATTTTACCACCCAGCTATATATAATACCAGTACAAATTTTTAACATCCCTAACATGGTATAAAGATTTTTATTTTTTTAAAAAGGTTCCTTAATGAAACTATAGAACAAAGGAGAATATAATTAATGAGCATTCAAACATTGTGCAAGTATTCTTTAACAGACAATTAAGCATCAGTACACATAATGTTCTTAATCTCATTTGGAGTTAGACAATATAATTAATGCCAAAAAATTGTTGACAGTAGAAGCACATTCCATCAGATGCAAATTATTACTCAACTTTTAAAATGCCTGTGTAGTATAAACATATAGACTGTCTGTGCTATGATTTTAGTTTATGGATGTTAGCATGCAGAACTACAGAATCTCGTTACTTTATAAATAAAGCCCCATGTGATATAACTCTACCCACTTACCCAATTTAATCTCCCATTGTCCCTAACTCCTTTTTCTTTTTTCTCTCTTGTTGTTCCCACAAACCTAAACAATTTGGATGTCATATGCATCAGTCTTTTTATCTTCTCAGTATGAGTTATTTTCCACGTTGGAGCCAGTTATTTTTTATTTTTAAATGACCAAGGCATTATTTAATAATTGTCCTACAGTGCATGGTTTGGCAGTGGGAAGGGAGTGCACCTGGTTTTTATTCTCTCTACATACCTTTTCAAGCCATATGCTGAGCAAATTATTTGAGAAGCTGGACTCTTATGAGGAGAAGTGTGACATCAGGATTGGAGTGAGACTCATCAGTAACCTGCAGTATGCAGATGACACAACCTTGCTTGCTGAAAGTGAGTAGGGTTTGAAACACTTTTTGCAGAATATCAAGGAATGTAGTCTTCAGTATAGATTCCATGTCAATGTCAGGAAAACAAAGATTCTTACTTCTGGACCAATAGACAGTGTCATGATGGATGGACAGGAGACTGAAACTGTCAACAGCTTCATCTTGCTTGGAACCATAACTAATACCTTGGTACCAGCAGTCAGGATATAAGGAGACACATTGTACTGGAAAAAAATCTGCCATTAACAGCCTTTCCAAATATTGGGGAGTAGTGATGCCAATTTGAAAACCAAGGTATGTCTGATTTGGGGCCATAGTCTTTTCAATTGCTAGCTATGCATCTGAGTGCTGGACAATGAATAAGGATGACAGAAAAAGAAATTATGTCTTTGAGCTGTGGTGTTGGAGAAGAATACTGAGCATCCCATGGACGACCAAGAGAATGAACAGATATGTCTTGGAGGGATGCAGCTGGAGTGCTCTTTGAAGGCAAGAATGATGAGACTTCGTTTCATATATTATGGACTTGTTGTTAGAAGGTACTATTCCTTGGAGAAGGACATGGTGCTGGGAAGGGTGAAGGGTCAGTGAAAGAGACAAAGATCCTCAACTAGGTGTATTAATATAACTGCTGCAGTGTTCTCTTGTATGTCAGGAAGTATGAAGGTGGCACAGGATAGAACAAGGTTCAGATCTTTTGTTCATAGTGTCTCTTTGAGTCATGCTTGACTTGATGGCACCCAACAGCAACATATATGCAGCAGAATATGAATCAATTCAATATTTTGTAAATGTGCAATTCAGTTATTTCTGAATTTTGCCTTCCTTGTTAATATAAATTCATTGCCCCAACTTTTATTTCATCTGTGTCACTTTCTATCAGTTTGATTATATGTACATATGTTGTTGTTATGTGCTTTTGAGTCACTTGTAAGTCATAGCGACCCTTTCTACAATAGCCCTAAACCCTGCTCTATCCTGTGCCAATATTTTTGTCTCTGACACACCTACACTCACTATCCCAGTCACTGAATCAATCCATCTCATAGAGGGTCTCCCTCCCTTGCACTGTCCCTCTACCCTTCCAAGCATGACATCCCTCTCCATGGACTGGTCCCTCCTTGCAACATGTCCAAAGTATGTCAGACGAAGCCTCCAAGGAGCAACCTGGTTTCACCCTCTCCTTAATTCATGCATGGAATCCTTCAGTGGTAGTAGGTAGGTGTTTAGTCTGTTGTTGTTGTTGTTATTTGCTGTCGAGTTGCTTGTGACTCATAGCGACACTATGTACAATAGCCCTAAACTCTGCTCTGTCCTGTGCCAATCGCACTGTCTCTGACACTTCCCATCCCGATTATCCCAGTCACTCAATCAATCCACCTCATAGAGGGCCTTCCTCTCCTGCACTGTCCCTCCACCCTCCCAAGCATGATGTCCTTCTCCAAGGACCTGTCTCTCCTCACAACATGTCCAAAGTATGTTAGATGGAGCCTCAGAATCCTTGCCTCCAAGGAGCCACCCGGTTTAACCCTTTCCAGGATGAATCTGTTTCTTTTCCTAGCAGTCTGTGGTATTCTCAGTACTCTTCTCCAGCACCACAGCTCAAAGGCATCAATTCTCCTTCTATCCTCCTTGGTCATTTCCAACTTTCTTTTTTTTTTAATTTTATTTCCAACTTTCTGATACATAACAAGTGATTGCAAAGACCATGGCCTGTATCAGACGCACCTTAGTCTCCAGAGAGACACCATTGCTCTTCAGTACTTTGGAGAGGTCCCTAACAGCAGACTTTCCCATGGCAATACCTACCTAGTAGGTACGTGTTTAGTCTACTTAGAATAAACTCCAGTTCTCTCTACATGACTACAGAGCCCCCTGGCCTGGACTTTTCTTCCTCATCTTGATGATATCTTGTCTCCTTTGAACCACTTAGCTTGTTTGCACCCTGAACTCATTGCACTGCGTCTAGTGTACTCTTCTGCCAGATCTTGACTCTATAATGATTTTTTCCCCTTTTTGGTTGTTTGGTTTCTGCACATACTTTCTCTCAGATTAAAAACTTCCTTCGTGAATAGGAGACAAATGGTACATGATCACTGTTGTTCAGAATAAATTATCATTAATTCTTGGCACTTGTGGTTACCCAAAAATCTTCTACAAGATTTTTCATAGATAAAAAGTAGCACTTCCAATTAAGAATTGGTTTTATAGAACTACACAAATGGGTATTTTATCTGAAGATTAATTCTTCACTATCATTTGTTGTAGATTAGTATTTCTGAATTTGTTATTATGTAGTATAATTTCTACTTTGGAAAGGTAACCCTCTGCTTTTTTTTTTCTCTCACCCAGTTTAACAACTGAAGATTTAAATGGGAGTTTTCAACACAAAGATAGAGGTTCTGTGATTGGTGATTGTAAAGGTCCTTCTTCTCTGATACCATCTTCTCAAAATATATTTGTCAAGGAAACAGTGAGAAAACTGATATCCGTTTTAAGGTAAAAATACTTACTGACATATTTATACATGCTTTTCTTATCACCACTGTCGAGTGGTGATGTTACTGAGAAAATTCAATAGGATGACTTTATGATTTCTCTCCTAATGACACTGATTTAGATATTATTGTGAGTTAAATGTTCCTTGAAATAGAACTACCATTGCAAAGAGCCTACTGTTAGAAGGCATAGCATATAGTAGATGTTAGTCATCTTCTGAATGCAATAAAGATTTCTTGTTGCTTTTTGTTTGTTTGGTTGCTTCACAGAGACTCTCAGGACATGTATGGCCTTTAAACAAATCTTCTTAAAATCTTAAATCCTGAACTGAGTTTTACTCTTCTGTTCAAAGTGGAGGACTAACCTTTGTGGATGTGGTTATGTGAGGAATTTAGATGTCACTAGCACAGTTCTCAGAGGATACTAAACAAAAAAGGAAGCAAAGTCCAGTATTTAAGCTCTAACTAAATAAACACAATAATAATGAAAGCTTTGTGATCAAGCCTAGGAAGCTGATTTAGAGGGATCTCTCTGAAACAGATGTCATATCGGGGAATAGAAATGCAGCCCTACTTAACTTAGTAGTGTAGCCAGTTTGTCTTGCTGAGGTTTGGAGACTATCAGGAGCCTTTATAGAGTGAAGCTCAAAGCCAACGAGAATGCAAAGCATGACCTAGCGAGAAAGTTATTTTCTGTCATGAAAATGATTGACAACATATTCCAGAAGAAGAGAATTTGTGGAGAAGAACCAAGAGTAGATAGGGAGAGAACAAGTTGATGGTGCAGCTAAGTGGTATAGGCAAGTGGCAGCAGCCTCTGCTCATGCTCCAGGGGGTGGCCCTGTTTGTATGAGGAGACCGTCAACCCCTGTGAGAATAGTAACTCAATGCAGCATCTAATTTGCAGCTCTATAGAGCTCTGTATGGCACCCTATGAGCCTACCCAGGTCATAGAGGCTCTACTTGTAACCTCCACACTTGTACTTCCCCAGGAGAAAGGAAAAAGTGTTCTTGGTTACATACATGTGGATCTGCCTTTTACTTTATATCAGAAAATATGTTTACTGGTGATACGAAGGATTAAGAGACAACTCACAGATTTGAAAATGAAGGTGGACTCCACAACACCAGTACTAGTACCAAATCTGTCACAATGCCGGGGTTGCCAGGCTTAATCAAGCCTGTAAACCGTAGTGTTGTGCACATATCACAAGGTTGAAAGTCACATGTTCAATGATCTAAGTAGAAGTCTCCAAAGAATGATGTTCTCCAACTAGTTACTTCCCCTATTTCAGTAAATGTCCAGAAACAAGATTTAAAGTTCTCAACTTTGAGTTTTGATAGACCCAGGTTTGAAGCCTGGTATGTTACTACTTGTTCTGTGATTTGGACGAGTCATTAAAGCATGGTGTTATGTAATAAATTATGTCTGCATAAGCCTATTTATAACATCTTCATGTAGTAAGACGCTGGATGAGATGGACTGACTCAGTGATAAGGGAAATGGGATAACTATGCCAGAGACAATGACATTGGCTCAAGATAGAGTAGGGCTCAGAGTTGTACATTAGGTAGCTATGAGTTGCAAGTGATGTGACAACACATAGTAACAACATGTAGTACAAGTACAAGTTGGTAACACACTCAGTAAATAACCAAAAGATTGGAAATGCAAGTCTACCCAGAAACACTTTAGAAGAAAGGCTTATTAATCCATTGGGGGGGTGTGAAAATTAGCTATTGAAAACTCTAAGGAGTGCAGTCATCTGTTCAAGTAACTGTCTTCCAAATTTCTTGGCGTAGATTAGTGAGCATGTCCAGGACTTAATCTGTTTCTTGAAATAAATCAATTAGTATTCCATTAATTTCTGGAGCCTTGTTTTTAGTCAATGTTCTCAGTGTGGCTTGAATTTATTCCTTCAGTAACATTGGCTCTTCATCACATGTTGCTTCCTGAATGATTTGGTGTCCACCAATTCTTTTTAGTATAGTGACTTTGTGTATGGCTTTCATCTTTTGAGCCTTCATGGACTATCAAGATTTCTCCCTGATAATTCTTCAGTATTGAAACTCAAGGTTTGCATTTATTCTGCAATTCTTTCAGCTTAAGAAATAGTATGATCTTGTCTTTGATTTTCAAACTCTTACACATTTAATTATTAATACTTTGCTTTGTCTTCTCGAGCTGTCCTTATTTCCTCTTTCCTTCTTGTTTCAGCTTCTTTTTATATTCCAGTACAAGTTTCAGAATCTTTTTCTGAAATCTACATTTTCTTTTTAAAATTCTTTGTCTTTGTAGTTACTTTTTGTTTTCTTCATGGATACTAGTTGTCATCTCGTTCAGTCTTCAGTATTCAGTGTATCAAAGCTATTATTGAGATGGTTTCAAAGTTTAGTTAGGAATTGTTTTTATTTTCTTTACTTTTGCATATGAGTAGTTGATGACATGTTCCACAGTCAGTGCCTGGCTTTATTTTGACTGCTGATACTGAATATCTTCAACATCCTTTTCCACAGGTTCATCAAATGAGATCCATATGTGTATGTTGCTATTCATGTTTTGTAAAAGAAAAGTATTTACAATGAAAAAAGCATTTTGTTGTTGTTGTTGTTATGTGCCGCTGAGTGACCTGCAACTCATAGTGACCTAAACCCTGCTGTATCCCTTGACAATTTTATTGTCGCCAACACACATTACCCCATTACCCCAGTGACTGAATCAATCCATCTCATCAAGGGTCTTTTTCTCCTGTGCTTTCCCTCCACCCTACCAAGCATAATATTCCTTTCCAAGGAATGATCCCATCTTGCAATATGTTCAAAGTATGTCAGGTTAAGTTTCAGAATCCTTGCATCGAAGGAGCGGTCTGGCTTCAACCTCTCCAGGACTAACTTGTTTGTTCTCTTTAGTAGTCCATGATATATTCAATACTCTTCTCCAGCACCAAAGTTCAAAGTCATAAATTCTCCTGTGTCATCGCTAGTCATTGTTCAGCTCTCTGATGCATAGCAAATAATTGCAAAGACTATGGCCTGTATCAGACGCACCTTAGTCTCCAGACTGACATTGTTGCTCTTCAGTACTCTGGAGAGGTCTCTGGCAGCAGACTTTCCCAATGCAATTCATCTTTTAATTTCCTGACTGCTGGTGTCAAGACTGTTGATTATAGAGCCAAACAAATTGAAGCTGTCAACAGTCTCAATCTCTTCATCATCTATCATGATGCTACCAATTGGCCCTGTGGTGAGAACCTTTGTTTTCTTGATGTTGAGTTTCAATCCATATTGAAGACTATATTGACCTTCTGCAGCAAGTGCTTATAAAATTCCATTATGTGACTTCCAGCTTTGTTTCTGTCCCCTAGCCATTTTTTCCTTACCATTTCATCTTCTTCTTGCTTCCAAGTTAATGAATAGGGAGACTTAAATTTAGGAAAACTTAGTAACATACTCATTTCTACTTAGACAATCGCACAGCTCTCAAGGAAGGTTCTGGATTGTAAATAATTTTCTTATGCTTAACACTGATAAGACCAGGAAAGACTTGTCTGGGTGCTTTACAGAATTTCCTAGCCTTTCTTAGTTAGATAAGTTTTCTTTTAAAATTAATAATTTTCCTTATTTTTTTGTTTGGTTTTGATTTTGCCTCTAAATGTAAGATTTTTATTTATTTTAATAAATTATATGTGATCAAGAGAGGGGTCATCTGCTTAAGTATACTAAGACTTTGAAGTGCATCTACTTACATAATTAGTTATCAAAGGGAGATTAAACTTTCCCCAAAACAATCCTCCTTTATTAGGAAGATTTACTACTTGTAGCATCTTTATTGCTTGAAATCACCACACTTTTATCAGATGAGCACACTGAAATTCAAATGTGTTAATAGATCAGCTTTTTTATGTATCATCTTGAATTTTCTGTGGTGATTGTTTTAGAAAAAAAATATTCAGTGGAAAAAGAATTGCACAAAACGTGAGGCCTCAACTGAAACAAAATGAGATCACTTAACCAATCTTCTCTTTTCCCCTTTAACAACATGCAGCATGCTTCCCCACATTTCCTTAGTGAAAACAGGTTTCTTGCCTTTGTTTTTTCTGCACTGCACTGCTGTGTTTGCTGCACCTGTTATTTACTGTGTTGAGTGGATTGTAATAACTTCAAGGTGTAAGGATTGTGGCTTTCTATATATAATGTGGACAGCACATCATTCTTTCCATTCAGAATGGTTTACCTTGTTATCCATGGTCATTACATGAAAAAGAGCCTAAAGACTTAAGTGTTTATATTATTCTCTCCATTTGGATTTCTTGGAATATTCAATAATTGTTATCCCTTTCAACATTGCCAGAGTAGGGTCAGATAGATCTTTTTAATTAATGTGAATTGAATAAATGAATATAAAATGGTAGTCTTTACTGTAAGCTTTCATCACTTTACTATACTTAACATCTTCCTGTCCTATAATTTTTAAATTTTATTTTTGTGCATCAATTTTATCTCAAAGATAGTCATTTTCTTAAAAGCCATTTAAGCTTTTCATACCATAAGTAACATGTATCAATAGATGGTAAAGAAAGATATATTTTTTATTTTAGATTTTCATTCATTTATTGTTGCACATTTTACCCTTTCATTCTCCCTTTCCCCTCCCCAGTTAACTTTTTAAAAAAATATCCATTTATTGTTGTACAATTACCTACCTGCCTCCACCCCACCCCTAATCTTCTTTTCAGTGATATATCTCTTATTCTGGGATTTTGTCATATTTATAATGGCTAATCAAGTATTCATTTTAGACAGTTCTTTCTTTCACCTGTTCTATGCAATGGTCTTTTTCTAACTACTCTTATGCTTTTTTCCTCCCAACCCACCACGTAAAACCTACTTTATAACAGTAGTACTATGAAGTATTTGTCCTTCTGTGACTTAGATATTTCACTCAACATGATGTGCTACAGGGCCCCCATGTTGTGTAATGTTTTATAAGAACATTGTTTT